CGGTGAGTCAGGCCAGAGGAAGCAGAGTCCTGGGTTGTCCTGGCTGGAGCCAGGCTGCCAGGGTTCAGTCTCCAGAGTTCAAATTGCTTCTTGTCTGTGAGACCCTGGTAAAAGAGCATATTCTGTGCGCCTCTATTGCTAACCAGTGTTACATGTAGAACAATAATTCCTGCCTAATTCATTACTATACAGGCTATTTAGAGAGGTCACTGATTTTTTTTATAATTAATATTAATGTACTGTCTTAATAATGAGTAAGTTAGGCAATGGGTTGATGTAGTTGCATTAGTGAGCCCCTAATTTCCAAGATCACTAAAGTCACTTTGTATGAAAATAACATTAATTTGTGTAACAGACTTTCTGTGAAAAACCTCTCCCCTTTTTCTATACAATTGCAAAAAGAATTGGTAGAGTCTGTTTCAATAGGGAGGAACTATAGTTTAAAATTTTAGATTTAGACTATTTTCAAGTTTTTTGAAAGGTAAAGGAGAAAGGGTAGAGGAGGGGTAAAACAAACAGGGAAGAAAACACAAACTATGAGCACTTGATAGTGGTTGCAGCATAGTGGGAATAACATGGGGATCCCTAATATTACCAGAATTTAAAAATTAATTATAAAGAAGTTTTGGAATAATTGCGTTTCCCATGTTTTTTTCCTAATGACAGTATACTAATGACGAAGTTAAATTAAGTTAAATCAAGGTGGATCTGAGATCAATGGCATTTCCTATGAGCTGGCTGCCACATTATCACAACACCCTAGCTATGTTTCCTGTGCAGTTTTTACAAAAGTTCTCCACCCAAGCATTTGCTAATCCAATTCTTGCAACAAGAGCATAAACCAACAGCAAAGGAAATTCAAATGGAAAAGCTAGGTACCAGCTGCTACTTCTGCAGACCTAATTCTGCTCTTGTGAAGTGCCTAATTCTGCTCTTGTGAAGTGCTCTCCAAAACTTTGCTTTATTTTACCCTCTCCAGCTCTGGATTCTTCCACCACCTGCCTGGGCTAACCTAGACACCTGATACCACAGCATCTTAGACACCCAACCCAGAGCTGTAAACTCCAAACATACAGGCAGAATGAAACAGTTATATTCGATGGAGTACAGGTGGTAAGTTTCCAAAGTATTTGTTCATAAGAGGCATTGGAAGTGATAGTTACAAGAAATACCCAAAGCTGTGTCTTCTCAGCAAGTATTCCATGATGAAACAGCTCTTGTGTGGACCATGCCTTATAAGCAGTGAATGATAGACAATCATGAGTACTCCTCACAGTTATTTTTTAGGGCTGATTTATGAGTGTGAGGTTAAATTATTCCATGTATCAGTCTTGTAGGATCTCTGGATTAAGTGTTGCTAATACAAATATAATCTGGAGTCAGTCATTTAAGATT